TATATATATATATATATATATATATATATATATATAGGTAAATTGTATTACATATTGGTTCTGTATTTCTAATTTATAAATATTAGTTTATTTCATATAATATTTTCAACAAATTAATATAGGTAAATTGTATTACATATTGGTTCTATATTTCTAATTTATAAATATTAGTTTATGAGTATTTGTAATTTTATAATTATTAATGAATATTTCTTACCCGTGCATCGCATGAAATTCGTACTAGTATATTATATACTCCCTTAATATAATGTATATAAACGAGTAATGCTCCTCTACCCACGGTTGACACATGTTAATATGTCCACCGCTTATGTGGCATGTTAATATGTTCAAAAAAATACATCACCAATGTTTGCATGCCACATAAGCGGTTGACATACTAACATGTGCCCACCGTGGATAGGGGAGCATTACTAGTATATAAACATATGAACATATATTTTATTAACATACATTATACACTCATTTATTTTGCAAATCTAATTAAGGAGTTGAATTGCATTTAATAGATATGATCATAGTCTAATCAAGATAATTATGTTCTCACACAATCATTAATCATGACAATTTTACCAAATTTGATACATTTATTACCCTTTTGACTCGTGACAACTAGTGGTGTTCACGATCCGGATTGGTCTGGTTTTAGCCCAAACCACGACCAAACTGGACCTAACGGTTAAATTTTTTTCTTGTCCATAACCAGAGCGATTTTATTTTTTAACCGGCTACAAACCGCATTGGACGGTCCGGTTTGGCGGTTAACCGGTTAAATCCAAAATCCTTGTTTTGGGCCTTCAATTTTTATTTTTTTTTTTCATTTTGGGCTTAATTTTTATTTTCAATTTGGGTTCAAAATAGATTATTTGGGCCTAAAATTAAGAAAAAACAACAATAATGAAATAAAAAATACACAATTCGTCCTATAAGTATAAAAATACACATTTCATACCATAAACATAAAGATACAAAAATGATGAAGATTAAATTATAGAAACTTAACACAAGCAAGGTGGGAAAATGTGAAAAGTTATAGTGTCTTACAAAATTAAGTCAACAAAATGCCAAGTGAAAGTGAATGTATTGTATTTGTCGGCCATAGTGAATGACTGAATGTATATATATGTATATATATATATATATTTGTTATAATTTTTTAATATTTACCGATCCAGTGCGGTTAAACCAACGATTTGACACAGGTAATCCGTTAACCGGACCTGTTATTCCGGATTTTAAAAAAAATTAACCACTGAATTTTTTAAGACTTTTTTAACCGACTATTTTAGGGATGTCAATAAAACCCGTAGGGTCGGGTTACCCACAGGTTACCCGCATTTTCGGGTCGGGTAAACCCGAGACGATCGGGTTTTGGGTCGGGTTCGGGTAGAGTTATTCTACCCGAACCCCGGGTCGGGTCGGGTACGAGTATAGTAGAAAAACCCGCTATCCGACCCGATTACCCTACTATTGAATATTATATATACACATATATATGTATTTATAAATTATTATAAATATAAAAGTAGCCATGTGTTATTAGTATAAAAATTAGATTATTGATTATAAGTTTGATTAATGGTTAATTTTTTTTTATGATTTTATAATCAATTTTTGTTAATTGTATGATAAAAAATTTAAATACTTAAGTTTTAAATATAATATTATTAAATTGACTATACAAAATAAATAATTATATCTCATTATTTATTCCAAAAATAATATAATAGTTTTTTGTAATTTTTTATTGTCGAACTTAGTTAATAAATTGTTTGTTACATAATTGTGAAATTATTTTATTTTATTATTAATATGAAAAGAGATGGATCTAGTAAAACCCAAATTTAAAAACTCGGGTTACCCATTTACCCGAAGAAAACCCACTAACCCGCCGGGTAAAACCCAACCCGAACCCAGAGATCACCAACCGAATAACGGGTCGGGTTTGGGTAGGGTAAATTACATGCGGGTCGGGTTCGGGTTTGCCAAAACCCATACCCGACCCGACCCATTTACATCTCTAGACTATTTAACCGATCCGCAATCCGAATTGACAGTTTTTTTTTTTTAAACCCGACCGTGAACTACCCTATTAACAACTACTGATGAGTCATTACTCACATAATTAAGGTTTAATAAAAGCTCAGTCTTTGGTTTACACTTTGCATAATTATTAAGGCTTGGTTAAAGTTGTGGATGATTGGTGTTTTAGGTTGCAAATTAAGCAAAGAAATAATACTCTAATATTTTAATAACATTTTAACGAGTCACCCTTCACAAATGCAAGTTAATATCTGGGGAGATGCTACAGTCTCGTTACGGAACTGTTCTGTCGGGGTTTGTAACCGCTAAATTATTATGTGTCCGTCGAAAATATTTGATCTAACGATTATAAAATCTCCACGGAATGATTTCGTAATGGAACACGGTAGCATTCTCTAATTATTGATAGAAGTATTTAAGATATTTTGTAGTGGAGTTCTCTTTAGTGGAAATTGCCCCAACATTGAATAGATTAAAAGGCAAAAAAAAATAAAAAAAGAAAATGTCAGTTTCAATCAACATAAACCCAACTATTAATAACCCACGAGTGATGTTGACAAATTAACTTCCACAGATCAAATATTTTAGTAGAATGTTTTTTAGCTACATTGTTGTGGCCCTCCTCAATCTGAAATCAACAACCTTCATGAATCTTTCATTCTTTTTTTTTTTTCATTTTTCTTTTTAATTAGGTGCAAATTCAATATCAACTTGATGCAATTATTTATCTAATTTAAGAGAATAACCAATTAATATGCAAGTATGGTGTTGACGTGTGTTGAATATCACTTGTGAGTTGTTGCACATTAATTCTACAATGAAAATGGGTCTAGCTTATATGCGTAGTGGACTACTACTCTCATTACTAATTGGTTTTGAAATAAAACCTCATTATGGTGCACCTAGGCCCGCTCTCTTATGATGCGCTTCATCTGCGTGGGACTGCACCTTGATTCCCGGATTATAAAAAATTTGATATGATATTAGAGTCTGGCCAATTCTGGTCTGGTCTCTATCTCTCTACTCGGCATGCTCTGGGCTTGGGCTCTATATCTCTACCTGGTTTGGGTCTCT